TATATATATAAAATGAGATTAGAAATGAATATATTATTTTTACAATTGGAAACAGATTTGTATATACAGTAAATAGAGTAAATCGTTCCTAATGCCTATGAAGCACTATTAGTATGAAGTGAGGCGCGAGATGACAACCGGGCTCGCGCATGCGCGCATCGCGTATACAGTCCGAACTCTGACTATGCCGAACGGCACTTTCAGTGTCAGAAAGTATCAGTCTTCTCTTTACCGCGTATGGGATTACGTCGCGGATATATACGCGCGAGCCGCGAGCGGATGCACAGTCCGTCTCGTCTTCGTGCTCGCTCGGTCCGGCTCGTCCGAACTGACGAACTCCAAGTCAGTCCGGCTTCGAGCAGAGTCGCCCCCGCTTTCTTCGCGCCAACGGTAAATAGAGCGGGGCCAGCCTTACTCCGCTGTGCAGATTAATCGACAGGGTTGCAGGGCTCTCTTTCCCCCTCGCGCGCCTAGTCGCCAGTAGTCGCTGGTAGTCGCAAGTGCATCGTATTTGAGCGACGCATCGCGCGTCACGGTCGACTTCAAGGCAGTGATACGGTGAGAGGGTAGGGGAACAATATGAACTCGATCGTGACGTCCCTGCATCGAGGATTCTACGCTCGAGCCCCAGGATTCGTGCTCGGCACCTGCCGTCAAGTACGTCGTATAAATTCGATCTTCAATCGTGTCCTGCGTCACAGCGTATATATACCTTATGTCACCGTTAAGATGTACCCGCTGGGAGCGATGTTACTTCGCGAGTACACGGTCTGTCGACAAATAATAGCCGTTATCGAAGCGACGTCCTGTAGCGAGTGCAGCGTCGCGACACCGCGCGGATATGTGTATTGTCAATAAAGCGACGCACTCGATCGCGACGTTACGTCCTGGACGGAAGTTATTGGCTACGGATGTTATTCGCAACGTCACCGAAGACACCTGGAACGAAGATCGTGTAACATTGCGCAAATATTCGTTATGAAAGCAATTACTCCGGATTTCATGATACTACAATGCGGTGCGAAGAGTGGGATACTCCTGGGATACATTTTCTAGCGATCGTTGGAAATTCCGAACTAAAATAATACGGTGAGCATTTCTGTCGCCCGAGAGAGTCTGTCAATCCAGGAACCTGTGGTGTTTTGAATTAAAGAGAATCACGGCAAAAACATTACAAGTGAAATCTCGCGATCGCGGATGGATTGATCAGTGCGCGCCGAAATCGCATCGTCGAGGCTTTCCTCCCCGTCGGTCAGGAGTGCATCGGATGCGTGAGAAAGTGCAGCTGCAGCAGTAGCAGCAGGGCGTCGGGAGGAGAGGTTAGGCGAGGCCGACACCCACCGAGCGAGTCGATCAGCTGTTCCGCGGTGCCGACATCATTGTCATTTCGGACGCAGGTACGTGTCAGTTTTCACTTTTCTCATTATCGCTCTTTTGCCCTGGTGTGCGATCGAGATCGTTGATCATGTCGAGAGACTAATGTCCTGGCGCCTGGTATCGATATTTTCAAATATCGTTGTCTGGAGGAAACCTTGTTTTTATCCACAATGGCAATTAGTCTAGGGTTCATTTTTAGATGCGCGTATTAATGTTGATATAAATATCCATACAGCATACTTTTATCCAAAGGATAAAAACGTGAAAACGTCCTGGGAATGTACTGGAAATTGTTTAGGATATGTCTCTTAGAAGTATTATGTGCTGGCTGGTAGAAATTGATAGTAAATAAGAGTATGCAATCGATCGAATAGTAAAAGCGATATTTTCCATTTTTGTTTATAAAAGTCAAGTAAACTCGCGAATATCGAATTTGCATAAGAGAAACATTTAAAGAAATTCCATATTAACTGTCGTAATTAAATTTCATAGATAAAAATCTTTTTTTAACTTGTTAACATAAATATTACACTGAAAAAATTACACTGAAAAAAAAATATAGTCAATTTTAATAAATATTTAGTTGAATACTGCCAACTAAATATTTATTAAACATAAAAATATATTTATTATAAAAGAAGATAAAAGAAATGTTAATTTGATTTTTAACGATCATTTTTTTTATTGAACAAATATTTACTTACTGTAAGTACATGTTTCAGTTGGCAGTATTGAATTAAATATTTATTAAAATTAACAATATTTTTTCTCAGTATATTTGCAAATAATCGGACTTATTCTTCTAACTAATAACACTCAATATATAACATCACTTGAGAGTACAACATCTTTTCTTCACTAACTCGCGTCGCGTGTCACATAAAAACCTTTCAAACGTAACCCTCACTTTGTTTACAATGCTCGGAATGCGAAGAGGGATGCACAGGTGGTCACTTTTTTTATGATGCAATGGAGAGGGTGTGAAATCGCACATAAAAGAATACTTGTAACTTCTGTTATAACATTTTAAATGCACGCAGTAAGCGCTCTCTCTCTCTCTCTCTCTCTCTCTCTCTCTCTCTCTCTCTCTCTCTCTCTCCGAATTTATTAATTTATTAATTTCGATTCGGTAAATATGTTCTTTTATGACAAAGATTCCAAATATTTCAAGATATCAAATAAGCTTTAGTTTCTTGTATAATAACTTGTTAGGTTAAAATAAAATTTTGTTTGATGATTAAAGTTAAATTATAATAGAGCAGGGAGTGTAACTGTAAAGCTAGTTCTTCAACGACTCGTCACGTAACGTGTTCCCACATGTCTTGCAGTAACGTTAGACTACTTTTTATTGCATTAAAATTTTTTGTCGACCCGATCTCACCGTCGCATCACATGTTATGAATGACGCAAGAAGTCTCCACTTTCACAGTGTTTCCCGAACAATACCATTGTATGGTAAAATCACTATATCAGTGATGTAACGGCAAATTGCAATGACGAACAGTTGACGTTTTTACTCTGATTGTACATTGTTGTGAAAACAAACGATAGGTTACGTCTGCCATGTGCTTACGATTTTTTCTCGACGACTTATGTAATGCTATTGACCCTTGATTCGACATACGAAGAGAATACGGGGATCGGAAGTAACTCATTGAAAGCGTTCCTTTATAAAGTTGCTTGCATGCTAAGTATTGTTATGCTTTGTGCAATGGATACACTCAGAAAAATATTTGTTCATTTGATTAAATCAATTAAGCTCGCTTTAATTTTTTTTCATGAAGAATATATGTAACATATTATATTATATTATAATGTAAACATATTATATTTGATTTAAATGCATACATTCTTTAACAACAAAAATAAAAACGTACTAAATTAATTTGGTCAAATGAACAATTTTTTGCCTCGGTGTAAAAGGAACGTTTTGTTTTCTTTGCGAGAATAATAATACTTTAACGTTTCTTATAAAGTATTAATTCCGGAATATTTCCACTTTTTTTTCGATAAGAAAGGCGTAGAAGTAATGTAGAATTGAGATGGCTAATCGTGAGATGGTTGATCTTGCGTTTCGCGAAATTAATTAAATGATAAATCGCGTGAACAGAATGCCGTCTCACAGACGTAATGCGACACTATAGTCTGAACGAAATCTCACATACAATGTTACGTAAATCGAATTCAAGAAACTGAACCGAGAAATGAATACGCATAATAGATCTACGTAAGCAAAATGGAGAGTAATTTATTGTATAATACTGTCTATTATAGAACAAAAAGAGCAACCATATAATTTTTCTTATACATCAATGTATTTGACATACAAATGTATACACGTTCGTATAGACTGAATATTGTACAAAATGTTCAATTTTTTTTTTTTTCTTATACAAGGTTCTTATACAATATTTGTATTGATTTTCATAATACATAAGAATATACCGTCTGTCGTGATTACATCGTTCGTTCTATATTCAACAATTCGCAGACTTTCTCCGAAAGGACTGTTGCGACATCACTCATTTTACGACGAGTTGAATAAAATGAATCTTTGATAGTGCTGAAGAAATCTCACATTTTTCAAGCTACAACAACAAACTCTATTTGTCGTTGGATTTATTTCGCGAATTTAGTTATCGAAGTTACATCGTTAGTCGTAAAGAAAGTCGTTACAAAACGAGATTTCCCCGATATCGCGTTTCGTCAATAATCCTGAGGGAAATAATTTCTCTTTCATCTCACTGTTTTTCTCTTTTTTGGGGATTTTTGCAAAAATCAAGCCATCTTTGTGTGGATTTAAACACAAATTTAATTGATTTCTATTATAATATCTTTTTAAATAATTTATTCTTAGATAAATAAAGTTGATTTTTGTGACAATTTCATCTCTAGACGTGCATGCTTGAATTTTAAGATAATTGGGCAATGTCTCAAGAGAATTTCATAAATGGATATATATATGTTTGATATAGATATCAAGAAATATATGATACGAATGATAAATGTATCATGAAAAAATCAAGCCATCTTTGTGTGGATTTAAACACAAATTTAATTGATTTTCTATTATAATATCTTTTTAAATAATTTATTCTTAGATAAATAAAGCTGATTTTTGTGACAATTTCATCTACCATTTAAAAAATCAGCTAATTTCTCTGATTATTAAAAAAAAAATCAACGAGAATTTATTATCATTTAAGATTATCTATTAAATCAACTAGTATTTGCCATATTATTTCTTTGATTCTTTTACATTTTCTTACGTTTTCTTTAATTTCTATATTCTTCTTATCTTAATCGATAAAACTTATATTTCTGGCAAAGTGAATTCTATTTTAAATTGTTATCGAGAAATAGAGAGATAGCTGAAAACAGGGAAAGAGATGAAAATAGAAAAAAAGGTTGAAAGTTACTTCTATTAAGAACGCAACATGAAAGAAGCTGTTATCACAGCTGTTCTTCACATTTGATGGACGTGCGTGTGCTACGTATGCAACGAGAGATAAGGCAATCAAGCATGTAACGTGTAACGAGTCGCACATGTCGCGTGTTCATCACGCGAACAATATTATGGGGCTGCTACCGCAACTGTGCCGCGTTTGCAAATAGGGGAATGCGGAACAAAGCGCTCGCGTTGCTGCGAATACACTACTTGAATCAGGAGCGGATTAAGTCAGAAAGAAATTTGGCGAGGGGCCATAATTTGGTTGCCACTTTTCGATTATATCGATTGAGCCACGAGAATTAAATTCTCATTACAAAATGAACTCCGCATAAAGTTAAGTGAAAAGTAAGAGTTTGTGTCATCGAATCTTTGAAGCGTAATTTACATTTCGGAATTTCATTTCTTATTAATTTCAAAGGCTTATTAACATTTCGACTTTTAAATTATCGTTTTTAAAAATTTAAATTATAGTTATTATAGTATTTTTTATTTTAATAGGTTCTATTTAAAGACAGAGGATTCGATATACAGTCATCAATTTATTGTCATCAATTTCATCAATTGAAAGCTAGATTAGATGATTGGCTATTACTACCAATTTTGAAATTAGATATAATGTGAATCATATTTACTTCTTTATTATTTGAAATAATTCCTTTAAAAAATAATTATTAAATATTTATTACATCTCTGTCTTTTGAATAAAATATTATTAACACTCTTTGAAGAAGATTCACAATTTAATACATTTTCCCTTTTAATAAAATTATAAATTTATTTTTTTCCATCTTTTCTTTAAAATAAAGTAACTCACGGTGCATAAATTTAAATGTATGTATCATAGTCAAAAGAAGAAAATACACTGCAAAAACTGCCAGGACTATCGAAATTTCGTTCCATACAGCTCTGACACTTTCTAGGGTTACTGCTTGCATTGCCATAAGCGGTGCATAGTCCTCTTGGAAGTTCCTTTGTACAAACAACAATGGCAATCGCGATAAATTAATACCTTTTTACTGCCACTTGTCATACTACAAACAGCAATCGCTTTCTGCAATATCATGCTGCTACTCCGCAATCTCAATAGTACTGATTAGTTTGTGCGCGAAGTGCAAGCCGAGAACAATACATGGAAATTTAAAGCTTACTTTTTACTTGCATACCTAATTTACGATTAATGAAATCTACTGCTATCTGGCAGGCTTTATTACACGATTTTGTACTTGTCCTAATTTTTACCTTTTTACTAGAATATCTGATGTTAAAAATTAGAAAAACTTAAGCTTTGCAATGATTGAATTGATAAAAACGACTGCATAAATATAAGAAAGTTGAACTCTGGTTGAGTTGATATTTTCTGCAAAAAATTCTTTATAGTATTTTAAGATATCTTATTAGCATCAAAATTTGTTGTAAAATTGTTTATTAATTTAATTTATAATACTATTCCAATTCCAATTTAGAACTAGAGTGTTTCAATATTTGGCCGACAAGTATTTGGCACGCAATTTACAGGAATCGCAAATTGTAAAATTCACGCAAAAATATCATTATGGATATCAAGATTAG